TCTTCACTTCTTTACTACCCTCACAATGACCTTCAGTCACTTACAACATGATCAGCGCTTTGATCCGTCACAACTCTGAAATGGCCTTTGTCATCAGATGAATTGCACACCAGTGATACAGTGGATTTCCAGTTAGTACCACTGGACGAACTGAACGAAAAGAAAACATAACATCACAAAAGTATGTAAGCTACGAGTATGCTAACATCGCATTGTAGGGGCCTCTAACTCTGGATCGTAGAAAGCCAAATCGGAGTTTACTGGGTCCAGCTAAGTTTAAAGAGTTGATGACATGAAACCAACTTCTTTTCTTGGCATACTCAACTACAAACCTAACCAAAACGTGTAGTAAAGGCTTGAAGAGCTCTTTTTGAGAAAAACATTACAAAGAAACTTTGAAGGAAAGGAAAAAGAAATTCAAATTTGAGGAATGAGCAATACTTTTTCAGCATATATAACCATTTATTTCAATATTACTCGGTAGAAGTATTCTCTTATTATGTTTATTTCGGTTGGGAAAACTCAGAGATAAGAAGTACAACTTTTTACTCAAGTTGTGAGTAGAACAGAAATACGAAACAGAACTTCCCCACGAGTTGAGAGCGGAGAATTGGCGCGAGTTCGATTAAGAATTTTGAATCACTGTTTTTACTTGTTATTAGGAAAATTCACTTACCATCATAAAATTATCTTAGTTAGGCTGACCTCACGAGAGAATTAAAACAAGCCAATCAAAACCAGTTCGCGCATCGTAAAGCAAAACAGAGTGGAGCTCACCACTCATAAACTTACCAGGTAAATTAATGAAATTATCATAATTATATCGAAAAATAGTCCTGAGATAACTTTGAGCGATCCGATTGGTTCTTACTTGGCCGGGATGGAAACGGTGATAAGCAGACACATCCAAAATAAACAAGTTAGGTCCGAGAACCATTTAATAAATTACTTGCTTACTTCACTAGCTCGAGTTGCATAAGGGAATATTGGCCCTCTGTCGTTGTTGTACGGACTTTGCTGCCGTCTGTCAGTGCCACGACCTCTGGCCAATATTCCCCAGTAGGGCCTCACGCTCGGTTAGTAAGAAGTTAGTTATCGATGGCTATCATGCCAACGCTATATGACCGTATATAAAATATCTATTCGTGGAAGATACCTAAGGTATGATTACCAAAGTAGCCAATGCATGTTTAACCCAATCGTATACACTCTGAGCAAGAAACTAAAACTCATACTTCCTACAGGAAACTATAAGATTCTTGAAAAAAAATACTATTTTCTTTTCGCTGGGTAAATACAAATACTCACTGATGATAATGTATCTTTGGGTGTTTGCCTCCCCCATTGAAAAGCGCCGACCTCTGACTACCAATATTAACGTACGCATCATCATGACCATCAACCCATCGACAAATCTGAAACAAGTTAATGAGTTGGAATGTTCATCACCCAAAACTATATTTTCGGTCTGACGGAGGTTTTTTCCATAAAACACGATGTAAGAAAAAAAAAACTTCTAAGCCAATTGCCTCAGGTGAAAATTCTTTAGAAATAAAACCACGCCTTTCTCAAGTTTAAAGTAAATCTTGTAATGATTAAGGATCTTTACAAATGAGTTGCGCATCGACGAGACCTTAAACATTTTCTCAGGGGACGTCAAAAGGAATGGGCATAATTTTTCAGAATTCCAAAGTCCCAATGACATCACTTTTGGTGGCCTCAAGTATTCTTCTGTCCAGAATCATTCAACAAAACGACTTCTCGTCTTCCTATCTACTATAAATAACGGGAGAAATCAATTTTTGTCTCATCTGTCATTCTGACTAAACAATACTTTCTGAGTTTCCCTTAATTATTTCTTACCGCCACACCAGAGTGACACGGGTTTGTTTTCTTACTCGGTCCAATTTTGAAAGGGAAGCATGGATTATAGCTGATGCTATAACCCATGGAGTCTTCTGTGCAAAATCTGTTCAAGAATAAGAGAAACATGATTGATAGAATTATTTGATCATGCAAGCATGGGATTGGACATGCATCGTATGTAAACCAAAAATCATTTAGAATCTATCATAGATATACGCTCTTGTAATCGAATATACCTCAACTAAAATTGTCACTAGGAATACCTGGTGATAATCCTCGAGTGATATTTACCACGTTTCAAACCTTACATTCAGCTTCATGAACGTGTTCAATTAGAAGTTGATGCAAGGTTAAATAGCGCATTGCAATTGAAAAGAATTTTTAAAAAAAACGATAGAAATGTATGCATTATGAATGCAAACCTAGGCCTCTCATTGGTGTTTGCCAAACTTGTAAGGTCGTATACTTCATCTTCGTAGCCCTTGTAAATACACGTAGCAGGTTCTGATGTCTTCTCTGCCTCATCTGTTACTTGGCATGCTGATGAAGTCAGTATAGTTATGAAACACACGACTAAGCTCAAGCTATGCATTTCTGAGCTGTCCCTAAGAAGGAAAAGAAAATATTTCTGGCACGTTCACACATCCTACCAGTGTCTATTCATAGTGCCCTCTCTGACAAGGGAACAAAATACGCTTTTATGGAAAGGTTTTAACGACCAAAAAACTCAAATTTGTTGAAGAAATTGACCGACAAATTGAGGAAACTCAAGGTATCGGAAATTCATGTCAAAAAATTGTATACGAAATTCTAAGATAACTATCAATTGACCTGTATGACTGAAATTGATTATTTCTAAGTCATATTCCAAAAAGTTACTTTCTTAATCAACGTCAATCTTGAAACAACGCTCCCTCTCAGAGAAATAATTAACAATGAAGTAAGCTTTAGCTAAGCTGCATCTTCAACCTTCAACTTTCAGAAGTAATCAACACTCATCTTCTCCTGGAGATTCCCATGAATAGCTTATGGAAGCACACAAGCTTATTGAGGCCTGTTTCTTGATACAGCACCCCGATTCTCTTGTTAAAAGGGAACGTGACTCATTGGCTCGTGGAGTGAAACAAAAGCTTCTACTAATGATCGAATATAACTTAATTTGTAAATATGCAGCATTTATAACT